TTCGAAAAACGGTTTTTGATACTTCCCCTCGTTCTTCGCGTATATATATACAAACACATACATGTCATGTTTCCACACATCAAAACCACTTAGAAGAAAAGAAAAAAAGATTCGATCTTAAAAAATTATGTCGTCGGAGGAAGATAAGACCACGAGGATCTCTATCGAACCGGAGAAACAATCACTTCTCGATCATCACACCGAGAAACATTTCACCGCCGGAGAAGTCGTCCGTGACATCATCATCGGTGTCTCCGACGGTTTAACCGTTCCTTTTGCACTCGCAGCCGGACTTTCCGGTGCGAAAGCTTCTTCTTCTATCGTACTCACCGCCGGAATCGCCGAAGTCGCCGCCGGTGCTATCTCCATGGGACTCGGCGGGTAGTTTCATATATATTACACTTATATTTTATCACATTTTATAAGAATTTACACGTAAACACTATGAAAATTTCGAAATAATGGCTAGAAAATTGAGTTTATATGTGATTGGGAACTAATCCTACATGCAATGAGCCAATGACTTAATTATCGCATGCATAACTATCAGAAAAGTTAATTATATAAAACGAATTATTATTTGAGAAGTTAATTACATACAGTATATAACTTCTAGCATAAAGAGTTAGTTTTGTTTACCAAATGTTGGTGAACTACTTAAGAGATGATTTACGCTTCAACTCGTTATTATCAAATGTTGATTTCGGATAAGTAATTCGTTCATTTCGTTTTAATTTACATGTGAAGTTTTAAAGAAATTTCGAATTAGGTAAGGGATGTAAAAAAAAAAAAATAGTTTACTAATCATAAAAATTTGGACTAATTTTTCCTTTTATTTATAGTTATGTGTTTGCATGCAAAATTCGTGATTTAAAAATGGAGTTGTACACAAGTTTATGAATTAAATAACAAATTTTAGGTACTTAGCTGCAAAAGGCGAAGCGGATCATTACGCGAGAGAGATGAAACGAGAACAAGAAGAGATCGTGGCCGTTCCTGAGACCGGTAAGACCGAATTTCCTTATGATTCTCAATCTAAACCGTCCGGTACGAGGGAAAATTATCCGGTGTAACGCAGTTTATGGTATGGATTGGTAAAACAGAAGCAGCTGAGGTGGCAGAGATTCTGGCACAGTACGGAATAGAGCCACATGAATATTCACCTGTGGTTAATTCTCTTCGCAAGAATCCTCAAGCTTGGCTTGAGTTTATGATGAGGTTAGTCTCACTAAAATTTTAATTACTTGGTTTAGTGATGTTTTTTGGATTTTATTGATTGTTTAATAGAGGAGAAAATCGAGGGAAACTTTTAGTTTTCTGCAAAAGCTGGGTTTTTTACTTTCCAGGTGTGGCCAAGATTCTTATATGGTCCGACTTCCAATTTTATTTTATTTTGTAAATAAAAATGCTTCAACATAAAAGTTTTCTTAGGGAAAATTAAGTTGCTTTGAAATTTTTTTAGTTCTTTTTTTTTATTACATAATTTAGTTGTTAATTAGGTAGGTGACTATATACGGGTGACAAAACTATAATTATAGGATGTTTTCATTTCATGGATGATTTATACGTTTTTTCGCGGATGGTTTTAAATAATAAACAGTGTGTATCATGTATAAATTGCTTGTAAACAACATGAAATTCATAAGAAAAGGAGGAAAAATGTGCAAATTACCCAATTGAAATTGTTGTGCAAATAAAAAAAATATACATAGTCATGTTTTTTTTTTTTTTTGAAATGTTAATGCATAGTCATCTTTGCAAATTTTGAACCAAAATTTTAATCACCAAATTTTGTACGTGTTTGTTATAGGTGAGAGAGACTCTATTTGTTAATTAATTGTTTTGCACAGGTTTGAGCTTGGACTAGAGAAGCCTGATCCAAAAAGAGCATTCCAAAGTGCATTCACGATTGCAATAGCTTATGTTCTTGGCGGTTTAGTACCACTACTCCCTTACATGTTCATACCGCAGGCCATGGATGCGGTAGTCGCTTCTGTGGTTATTACTCTGATCGCTCTCTTCGTATTCGGCTATGGAAAAGGACGTTTTACAGGGAGCAAACCAGTTAAAAGTGCGTTTGAAACCGCTTTTATAGGAGCGATTGCCTCAGCAGCTGCGTACTCTTTGGCTAAACTGGTGCAACATTAGCAGAAACAAAACAAATGTTGCGTTTAATGTTTTTAAAATTTTGGGACTTATTTGTTGCATGCAATGTGGTTATATTAATGCAAGAAAGAAAACAAAAATAAAACGTTTGCAACAAAAGTGTGTGGTTCGAGAAAAGCTTAGCATTTGCGACACAACAAATTTTGGCAAAACAAAGTTACAAGTCGCAACAAAATTGTGTTTCCTTATCGCCAACGGTGTCGTTTAGCTGTTTGTTTGTTACCGTTACGAGGTATCTGCAAAACAAAGCGTTCTAAGCCAAGAACCATTGCATCCTCAAGATTTATTTATTTTCTTCAAAATCTAATTTACTTATACTTATATTCAAATAACCATGCAGTTTCAATTTAGAAAGAAAATCTTATTTATGTTCTTCAGAATCCAGTTTACTTATATTCTAATAATTTCATATTCAAATAATTTATATATACGCTATTTACTAATCTTGATTTTCTTTCTAATTTACTTTGAGTTTTCATGAGCAATAAGTTTTCTTTATAATACACTAATACTCAACAATATTTATTTATAAGTTTTCTTTATCCATAAAATTGAGCCTTTTAGCAATACAAATACAAGTCCTGACCAAAGCTTGCACAATAAAGACACAAGTTCAACAGTTGCAGAACCAATACGAGCTACCCTAACAGCACGAGGAGGATGACGAGCTTCCCCAACAACAAGACGAGCTTCCCTAACAACAAGAGGAGCATGAGGAGCTTCACGTGCTTGCCCAACAACAAGAGGAGCATGAAGAGCTTCCCCAACAAGCCCAGCAAGAGAAGCTTCCAGACAGCGGGAGTTCATAACCAATCCCAGCCCACAAAGAATTGATTCTTTCTGCCTTTGCAATACCAAGTTGCACCAATTCATCATGACGGTTTGTGAGGAAACCATAAGCAAGTAGATATGTTCCAAGCAACCCTTCGGCAAACATTGAACCCATCTCAACAAGAGCCATGTTTGTCATGCGTTTATTGTCACGAAGATCTTAAATTCCAAATTACTCTATTGCTTACCAATAGCCACCCTATGTTTTTGTTTTGAATAAAATTCATAGTCCACCTCGTCTAAGAATGGAGACTTTGATAACAACTCAAACTTTTCTTTGTGAAAATCAAACGACAAGACTCTCATGCCACTAGTGTCAGCTGCATCAGTCACCCAGAACGCATACCCTTCTACGTAGACGGGGTCGATGTCAAGAATGCGGTAAGGAGGAGCTGGGCTAACGAAGCCCCAACGGTTGGAGGAAAAAAAGAAAAAAGCTCGCATCTGGTATAATCTTCTAAGCCCGAGTTGTACATCCATACAACCTTGAAGGACCCGTCCACCATGTCTTTACCAAATGCATGTACAACAAAAGCCATGTTTGTCATGCGTTTATTGTCACGAAGATCTTCAATTCCAAATTACTCTATTGTGGTCTTGCAGTTGCAGTCCCCAAGCCTTGTCTTTTCTTCCTGGGTGTATGCTTCCTCTTTATCTTCCCCCTGAGACAAAACGTACCATGTTTGACATCAATATCATAGATTCAGCCAATTATACAATACAAAAGAATAACACAAGAATATGCCCACAATCAAACCGAATCAAAGAATATGACCCCAATCAAACCGAATCAACAAAACCACTCAAACAAAACCACACTAAGTCCATTTACTAATTCCGACGCCCATAAATTGTCTTTCCGGTTTCAGAATCCACCATCACATGCATCAAAGTATC